AAATGCGCTTTACACAATTGATGTGTGTATGGATTGGGATAACAGTTGTATGAGCCCCTAATAAAATGTTAAAAAAATAAATTAAAAAAAAAAAACACACTGCAGTAAGATATAATAGAAAATGTTGGCAAGCTAGTATGGTGAAGTGAAATTTCTTAGTATGTTTTTTTTTCACCCAGGTATCTGTAACTTTCAGCGCAAATAGTGACACTAGGCAAGTAGGGTATGTGCAACACTAATAGAGGGGATTGTTCAATTTTAGTTGACACTCCCCTACTATAAGAATGGGCCACCTGAGAAGCAGGAAGAGAGAGAAATTCCAGGACCATCTAGGAAGAAGAGCTACCAATGGAGTACATTAGAGATCTCTGTCTGAAGTGGCTAAGGCCAAGACCTGAGGTACCAGAGGCTGAAGCACAGATTGTAGAACTAAGAAGGCCAAGACTGGAGACTGAGGCATGGAAACCACTACACAACAAGACGAGTAGTGCCAAGACTATGAAACTACAAGACAGAGCAGTGGGCTGGCTTCCTGGCCCCCGAAAGCAAATGCCAAAGGATCACATGGCTGAGAACTAGAGGATGGAGAGAAACTTAGCTACTGATTCAAGAGCTGTTGCTATGGACCAATAACTGTACCCTTACTGTTTCCTTACTGTTTATTGATCCTGACTTATGGTAACTTGTGAACTTCCCTAATAAACTCCATAATTTTGAGTTTTGACTGCTGTATTCTACATGGGCACTGACATGAATTATTGAACCCAGCAAAAGTAGAATGTCATGAGAACTGGTGTTAGAATAAAGAAGGATAGAGGGAGATAGAGGTATGCCGGAAGTCTGCCTTGTGTAAGAAGCTATAAGCTGATGAGGAGTTAGCTTCTTCTTATCCCTTGTGTAGCTAGAGAAGGTCAGATATGGCCCCCATGCCTTTTTTGCAGGCAGTATCTCTAACTAAAAGTCAATCATGGTGAAGTTGGTGGCTTTAAAAGAATAATGTGAAAAAGTCTACTAATAACCAAAATAACAAAATGACCTGAGAGTGTGCTTCCATGAAAGCCAAGGTTCCTGCTACAAAGTTAGGCAATAACCTTCAACAGAATCTAGAGTAGACTCTGAGTCCAAGGCTCAGAGGAATAGACAATTCTTGGCTGTTTGCTTATTAAACTGCAGAGAAATTATCCACAAATAAGCACCATACAGTATCTATAGTGCTGCTAGTGACAGAGACAACACATCACGGATAACTATCTGCGCACAAAAGAGAGAAAAGTGTTCCTTACCTGTCTGGAGCGTCACCTCCTCAGCAGCTTTTTTTGCCACAGCTGCAGAGCACTTGTTCATCTGATAGGCCTAGCACAGCAAGCACACGTTTTAGCTTATCTGTCTTATTCTTCCTTTAAAAATAAGACATTCATCACCACCTAACACTCAGTGTTGTTCAATAAGGAAACAGAGTGAATTAACTTGAGGTCTGTATGAAATCTTTGCCAAGAAGGCATATTGGCTGTCCTGGCCTTCAAAGGCAACATGTGAAAAGGCAAGAGACATTGGGAACTACTTTTAGGTTCTTCCATATTTCCATCACTCACCTCTTACAAGAATTTTAATATGGAAACACAATTTTGTAAGAGGGGGCTTCAAAAAGTTCAGCAATGAATTGAAGATAAAGGAGTTTTCCCACAAGTGTAAAAGACAACTAAATCTGCCACAAAATACTTTCAAAATCCTCACAAAAGTATGTGTACACAGCCAATTATTTGTGTTTATCAATAGCAAGTTTTATGTGGGTATGCTTTGCCCATGAAAGAGGCCAGTTGGAATATGAATGGGGTAAGAATTAGCTTAACTATACAGCTCTCACAGTTTTCCTCACTACAACTACCAAATGCAGTAAATGCTCATGAGAATCTTAGACAAGAAGAAGTAAAAAGGAATTCTTACCAAATGCTCAAGGCCATAGTCAGCTTGGGCAACACTAGTGCTACTGAAAGTATTTGTTTCAATGATATCTGCACCAGCCAGCAAGTATTCCTGCAACAAGAAATAATAATGTCAATGCTCATGAGTTTGAGAGTCCCTGTCCCCCACAATGCACTTCTTCATCATCACTACCACCAAACATATTTTGATAACTTACTAAGTTTAAGAGGAGGAGCCCTAGCAGGATTAACTCTTAACCCTAGTGAGTTAAAAGTTGAGCTGTTAACAGCAAACAGAAGTTCGAGCCTACCAGCTGCTACACAGGAGAAAGATGAGTCTGGTGGTTACAGTTCAGAAACCTGATGAAGCAGTTCTACCCTGCCCTGAAAGGTCACTATAAGTTGGAATCAACTTAAGGACAAGGGACAGCTATAGGCTAAAACAAAATCTAAACCATTTCTCATGAAGTCAGTTCTAACTCATGATGATCCCATGAATTTCACAGAACTGTGTTCCAAGGAGTTTTCAATGACTTTTTCATCAACATCACTACTGAACATTTTTGATCAATTACTAAGCTTAAAGAGAGGAGTCTTTCTTCCGAGGTACCTCCAAGTGGATCTGAATTGCCAGTCTTTTGGTTAGTAGTAGAGCACTTAACCATGTCTCACCAAGAAAATAAAAGTGACGCAAAATGATAATAGAATCTCATGGAAAGTGGTGTTTGAGTAAATAAGAACTGAATTCAGATCCAGTTCGCACATTAGCTTACAAGCAAATTCCTTACACTGTTTCAGTTTCCTCTTCTAAGAGTATGAAATGATCCAGAGGATGGCTGCATCACAAGATAATGAATCAAGTACCTAGCAAGTGATGGGTACAACTGAAAATTAGTTCTGTTCCCTTCCTTCTGCCATATTCAGCACTGTCTGATCCTCATTAGATCTACACACTACCTCTGAGATCTCAAGCTGTGAACGTCCTCTCTTACCAGTGTCTTCTTTAGTCCACAGCTCTTAAGTCCATCTGAACGAGTGCTGCTACCTTACTAGAATGTGATGACTCTAATGCCCTCATCTTCTCCAGGTATGAAGCTTGTCTTTTTGATGTCACTCTATGCATACCATCTTAATTTCAACCTAATTTGTATCCTAAAATCCCTCAACCCCTTTGATTTTGCAATTCTGAGTAAATGCAAGCACTCCTAAGTTTTAGAAAGAGCTAAGAAATGAAACCAAATTTACATACTTATAGTAATTCATAAATGCCCCAAACATCCAGTAACAGAGAAATAGTTCAATAAAACAATTGCTAGTTGTGAGGCATCAAGTTGATTTATGATTCATAGCTAGAGCACAAAGCAAGGCTGACACTCCAGCCAAGGCCTCAACTCCAGCTCAAGCTCCCAAAGGTACCCAGGCTCCCATGAAGTAGAGTTCTCTGAGGATGAAAGTGTCTGGTGTGAACCCTGGGCTGCCATCTGCAGGGAGCCGGTGTCTTCCTGTGCTACTGGTACAAATAAAACTAAGTCAGGCAACAACAAAAAAATTCACAGCCTCAGAAGACTTATGCAGTATCTCTAAGAGTTGGAATCAACTTGAAGGCAGCAAATTATAGGGTCTCTTTTAAAGAATTAAAATTTATTTTTTAACAAAGCACAAATTAACTGAAAACAAAGTTAATGCTATGGGTATTAGTTAAATAAACTTCAAAACGTTTTTGGAAAAATGGAATTGAAAGAATAAAGGAAAGTTTCCACATATTTTATAAGTCCTGCCATATAATAGGTTATGATAAAGTTACAAAACCATGTTTCAGAGACTTGCAGTTGCTGGTCCAACATGTAAAAGCTGTAGAAGTCATCACTCTTGCCCTCACAAAAAGTAAAAAGCTTCAAAACTGAACATCAATAGTTCTTACAACTATCAGAGAACTGAGATCACAGGGAAATCAGGAAAGAAGGCAAAGAAGCACAGCTTATCAAAAGCAGAAGCCCACCCTGGAGCCAGTACCATTAGGAATACTTAATTTGAATTGACAGGTTGCTGGAAGCTCAGTACAGATTACCTTAAGAGTTAAAAACTTCAGGGGTTCAGTCTACATGAGTTTATCTCACCAGGTTCTCTGAGTGAACATGAGAAAAATCCTCTAGTACTTGCAGCTGGTGGAATTGTAAATAACCCTCTTTAAAATAAGCCCAGATTCCAGGAACAATGGGCCTGTCCTCAAAATTTTTTTCCATCAGATCCTAACTAACTTGGATTTTACCAGGTGCTAAAGGAGCTGCATAGGAACTCGGTAGTGTATAAGGTCAGTAGAGTAGTTCAAACGTATCAATCATTTTGGGGGAGAAAGAAGAGATTTTCTGCTCCCAAAAGATTTATAGACAGGTCTACTCTATTCCATAGGGTCCAAGAGTCAAAATCAACTCATTAGCCATGAGTTTGGTGCTTTTTGGTTTAAGAACCTGGAAGGAAATCTGATGGAACTCAGCTGCTAACCAAGGGTTGGTGGTTCAAACCTACTACCTAGTCCATCAGTGGAAAGAAGTGGCGATATACCCCCATGAAGATGTAACCTATGGCTAACCAAGTCACATTCAACTTACGGTACCACACTACCATCATGTCAATTCTGACTCATAGCGATCCTTTAGGACAGAGTAGAACTGCCCCTGTGGATTTCCAGCACTGTGAATCTGTACAAGAATAGAAAATCTCATCTGCCTCCCACACAATGACTGAGAAACATATGCTGCAGCAGTGGAGTGGAATACAATCTTTGCTGCACAAATCATAACCCACGGGACAGCTCTCCTCTGTCTTACACGGTTGCTACAAGTCATCATACAGAAGGCACTTAAACGAAGGAAGGGTAAACTCCAACGCCAGCCCCACTGTACCCTTCTTGTCTCATTAAAGAGGGTGGGGGGAGTTGAGATGCATTTATTATGCTCACTGACCAAGGACAAAGACTCATTAAAACACTGAAACAATCACAGGGTTATAGAACACTCACTCTCCCCCCACATCTTTTCACTCTATCAATAGGGCTCCTGAGTAATAATGAAACTATATAGGGCAGTACTCTCATATAAAGTACCCATGAGATAATGAGGTATCAAGAACAGTCAGGAGAGTAAAAGTAGAGACCTGGGACCGGACATAGAGGCAAGAACAGTTCCTTTATATAGGTGGTTTTCAACCTGTGGGTCGTGACCCCTTAGGGGGGTTGAACAACCCTTTCACAGGAGTTGCCTGATTCATAACAGTAACAAAATTACACTGACGAAGTAGCAACAAAATTTATTTTATGGTTGGGGGTCACCACAACATAAGAAACTGTATTAAAGGATCGCGGCATTATGAAGGTTGAGAACCACTGCCTTATATAATTGAATGGGATAGGTGTTCAGAGAAATTCTAATAGTCAAGACTTCGCCTAACAAAATCTTTAAGGTACTTTAAACAGAAGCAGAACCAACAGAACCTTACTACATAACGTCATCTAGTGGGAACAGATCATGCTTGCACTGAAGTTCCCAGAAAATTGCCCGTGGGACCCCTTAAAAAGCTTGGGAATGCATGCACAGGACAAAGAAGCCAATGTCTGGGCACTTGGGGTACTGGAGTAGTTTCCTTCCTCCTCTCAAAAAACCAGACTCAATGCCATCAATTCAATGCCAAATCATAGCCCCGTATAGTTGCCCCTTTGAGTTACTGAGACTACACTGTTTACGGGAGTAGAAAGCCTCATCTTCCTCCTGCTGAGCTTCAAACTGCAACCTTATAGATTGCAGCCTGTGGTAGTTACACAATTTCATGTCAACTTGAAGATATAGTGTATGGGGTGGTATTCAATCTGTCAATCAGGTCACACCCCCTGTGGGTGTGGCTTTCTCATAAAGAGGGTCCTGGGAACCTCCCGAACCTCCCCCTCTCTTTGCCTTCACCTTCCTGCTGGCAGGTGACCTGCCAGAAACCTGTGATGCTTGGTTCCACAAGACTTTGCTCCCATTGGCCAGTGATGTTCCTGCATTCTGTTATTGCCTGTGGCTTTGTGAGTCTGAAGATGGACGTATGGGCTACTGTATGATTTATGGACTTGACTCGGCTGGGATGTTTGCTTGATAATATAATTACTTCTTGATATAAAGCTTTCTCTTACAAATATACGAGTTGCCACTAGATTTGTTCTCTAGTCAGCCCCACCTTACACACAGCCCAACACGTAACTACTACACCAGGTCTCCTCATTTCTTCCGCCTAGTAGCCTCTAACAAAATTCTTCAATGTTATCCATATGTTTAACCAGAACAAATCTTTGTATGAGAACCTAATTCTGGTACCATATATCTAGCAAGTCAAGAGAAAAGGATGATACTGGAAAAAGAAGTATCATTCTTTACCATAGTGAGATTAAACCAGTCTTATCTAGGCATAATGGCAAGTGGTCACCAGAATTCTTTTAATTCTGTGTTTTTAACTACCTCTGGTGAGCATCAGTGTTGGATCCAGAGATGAGAGAACCTTCACTGAGAACTCTTTTCTTTCTCTCCTTTCCCTATTGGTTTGGTTCCTGTCTTATACTGTCTTGTGTAAGGAGTCCTAGTAGCTTAGTGGTTATGTGTTGGGCTGCTACCAGCAAGGTCAGCAGTTTGAAACCACAAGCTACTTCTCAGGAGAAAGACAAGACTTCCTACTCCTATGATGAGTTACAGCCTTGGAAATCCCCAGGAGCAGTTCCACCCTTTTCTGGAAGGTTGCCATGAGTTGGAAACAACTCGATATTAATAAGTTTGGTTTAGTTTGTCTTGTATGGCACTAATTTAAATCCTCTGTAAGACATGCTAAGGGGTAGGAAGGATGGGTACCTCTTCTGTGGTAGTTACATAATTTCATGTCAACTTGAAGATATATATAAAAGTGTACGGGTGGTATTCAACCTGTCAATCAGGTCACAGCCTGATGGTGCCTCCTTATAGGTAAAATGTTCACCTAAGGGCCCAGGGAACCTACTCTCCTCTCCATGCCTTCACCTTCTGGCTGGTGGACCCTGTTTAGTTCCAGCACTCTGGAGATGTTACCACCGCCATTGGATCCACATGGTGT